TAATAAATCATTTTTATACAGAAAATTATTCTAAAAAGTGATTTAAAATTTGTTATTCAATTATGCATTATTATTGTACATGTCATAACTCCATACTATGTGCCTGAGTTTGGAAAAAAGAAAAAAAAGTACCGGTATAAATACATAGATAGATACATAAAAATAGAATAATACTCAGAAGCTACTTAAGGTTACAAATACTACCTCTCTCCATTCCATATTTTTTTAAATAAAAAAACATTAGAAATTGTGGAAAGTCCACTTCAACAATGACGTAATTGTACTAATCAACTTGCTCAAAAACATTATGTACTATATTAAAGAAAGGTATCTTAAGGTGGGACATTGATCAAGGTACGGTACTGTCACTGAAATTATGATTTTTGAATTTTTGGTTCAGAATCAATAGAAATGTATGTAATTATTTTAAAATAAGCCCAACACCAGCATGTTATTTATTACAATCAAAATATTTTATGCGAAATTCTACAAACAGCTTCAAAATGTGTTATTGAAATATAATCATAAATATTATTATTAGCACATACTGGGTGCAAAATCATTAATTTTAAACAATGTAACCACACAAGTGCTTCCCATTTCTAAGGTAGAAAAAATAAGTTGCAGATGTGATATTAGTTTAAACAATGACGTACACATAATCATCTTAATCTAAAAATCCCTGGGTATAACTTGTAGAACTATGTATTTAAATGTGAAATATAATTCTGAAATTCCAATGTAGATGAATTTTATTTGTGATACTTCAAATTAGTTCTAAATTGTTAATACTCAGCTATAAACCTAAACAGTATCCTACAAAATTTTCTACTGATCTTTATTTTATTTCAGAATCAAAATATCACATGATATTTGAGTAGGTTGAAAACACTGGAATATCAAGTATTTATTATTATGATTATCTTAATATTTATGAATGGCATTTTACAACTTGTTAATATTTTTTTCATTTGAAAAATCATTATGAGAAACTTGAAAATAAGACAATCAAAGGAATGGAAAATGGTTGTATTGCAGCCAAACATAGCTCATTGACCGAGACAATAATATGAAATTGTGATATGTGTTAATATTATTAATAATCGTTTTTCAAGAACCAACTGCCCAATTTTAAATCTGCTTGCAGAATACATTTCTGCATGAAATTTACAAAAATGTGTCATATAATTCCTGATTCTCAAATTGATGATGTTTCAAATAAAATTACCTGGGTAACTCGTATCGGGCTAAGGAAATTTGCATACTATTCTGCCTAAGCAAACGTGCAAATTATCTTTGGCTTTATAGCATAATATTTCCATACATTTGGGGGGTATTTTTGAAGTTGAAAAACATGTCACGGTCATATTTTACTCAGAGAAACACACTGTCTCCTTTTCAGTTCTCTGCCATAATAATTTTTTCAACTGGCAATCCATGTTTCTCAGCTGTCTTGTATAGTTCTTCTAGCTGCTGCCCCCTTTGGTAACCACCAACACTCTCTCTGATTTTTTTTTAAAAACTGTTTGAAATACGCTGCTGACTTCTTCCGGGGTTGCATGTCAATTGTTTTTTTTTCACTTTTTATATTTTTGTCCTACCCTCACCTGTTGCATGGTAGGTTATGTATGCGCAAACAGAATTACATCGTGCCCATTAGTAATCAGGAATAAGGTAGCTCGCCCATAATTTTGAATGGGTGTGATATTGGACAAATAGGGTAGAATATCTTTCATGTGCATAGAAGTAAATTGACCAAAACTAAAAAAAAAAAGGCACAGACTCTTGGGTAATGAGTATTCCCAAAAAGCTTTTGTATAATCTTCTGGGTAATGCTTAATGAATATTTTTATTTCCATAAAATTCCCATGAAACAATACATGTACAATATGTTTATAAACAAAATACTTGTCCATATTTATGATTGTTTCAAGGTACATTTAACAAAAATATGTGATACATTTGAGAGGACTACTTAATGTGTTCTTTTATAAGCCACATGTTTCAAGCCTGAAAAACAGGGCAATACTAAAAATACATTTTAAATTATTTAGATAGGACATCTATACTTGAAAGTGAAAAACTAAATCTAGAGATACGACCTGGTCATACCCCCTTAACGCAGCTTGTCATGGTAGTCTGTTTACAGTCCGCGATGACTACAAGTTTGTCATCATGATCACATCTGATTTTTGTGCTCCTTTACACCAGCATTGAGAAAAACAAATGTGAACATGTTAACCTTGCGCATAAACATTCTTTTGATTTTCATGTAAATAATCAATGTAATTTAAACACATGCTGTATACGTCGCCAGTGGTCCTATATTGAACAGGACGAGGTGCGGCAACTGTATATTATTATGAGATTAAATTATACCAGCATTTCAATTGCTTTAATATCAAGAGTGTATTTTTAGTTATGCAAACTATGGTAAAATGCATCATCCTAGTATACTAAGTTTTTTCATGTTTAGAAGTGAAACATGAATAACACACAGTAGGGGTAAATCCTGCTATCCTATTTTTTGGCGTTACATCATAGAATGTAAATTGTAATCCTTGGGTATTTGGGGTTGAAAAGAGATGCATGAAAATTTGTTTTTCAGAATTACACAAACAATGCAGTGGTTCGCTTGTGAACCCTACATCTCTTTTTTTTTAATTATGTTCATTAATATATCAATATTGTCGATTTGCTACACTGCTCGGTGTATCTATTACTGCTGTAAGCTGGTTCCAGGACCCATTTTTATTTTACCAAAAATGCATGTAGAATGTTTTGGGTGTATCACATTCATACATAGTTTTTGATTCTTTAAAATTACTTCCACATTTTAGAAATATTGGTATAATATAATGGCAATAAACCACTGCTAAAGTTGGGTATATACCAACTGATCTTGCACAAATCATACTGAAGCATTGCCTAGCAGCACCAGTGCACGCATAATTCAGTGGCAGCCATATTTACACTATTCGGCAGAGATGCTGGTGTGAACATTTGCTATGTTCACACGACAGCATTTTATCGGAGCCCAAAGGCTCGAGCCGGCTCGAGCCAGCAAAAATAGCCGTGTGAACGCGTTCGGCTCGAGCCAAGTTCGGCTCCACTAAACCCTCGGGGTTGAACTCCGATAGGGTTGAGTCCCGGCATGGCTCCGAACGTGTAAACGCATCAGGCCCAACTATCGGAGCCAAAATCACGCTCTCAATCGTCTTCTTCGAGTAACCTCTCATTTCAATTATGGCGGAGACAACATCTTTCATAATTTCACGCAATTTCCCGCTTGAATAAGAGGTACGCGACCTAGTGTATAGTAACGAATCATTGCGATAGATTGATAGCTCAATGGGAAACAAAAAATGGCGTATGAAATTATGCGACAAAAACTTGAAAGAACGACTGAATGGAAACTATTTAAAGACACTAAAGATAAAAATCGTAGAAGCGATTGCGGTACGGTGACGTGTTCCTGGTAGGTTTAGATTTAATAGATATCACCACAGTTGAATAGTTACAAAATGGTAATTTTGCATGACAATAACTTGAGCGAATAGGCTGTATTAAACGTATTTTAGCTGCCGTGTTTCCTGTTTATTCGAGATACTAGTACCAAATTTAAAATACCAGTCATTGTTTTTTCTACCTCCATGGTCAGGCTCCTTTTTCTCCTAGCTCAACAGCATCATGCCATGTAAAGAAAAAAACACAAGCACGACACTAAAATCATTTTCAGTCACTAATTATTCAAGGGCACTGTTCCGCTCGGCTTTGATCGAACTGAATCTAACTCTGGCAGATCTTGGCTCTCGTTCGGCTCCCGACCGTATGAACGCATTGTAGATAATCTCCTGTTAATCCGTGGGAGGAGCAGTAGTTCGGCTCCGATAGAATGCTGCTGTGTGAACATAGCAATTATGAGATTCCTATCTTTTCAATCACCAGGCGCAACTTACATCAACATAATTTTTTTCTAATGAAAATAATACCAAGGAACTATAAATCTTTAAAAACATGTGAAATTGAAATGCAAATGCAAATAAACAAACACATTTAGTGAAGTTATGAGCTTTCTCAAATGCCAAACTATAGTATAGTGAAGAAATACGCAACTAATGTGCCAGTCAATGTTAATCCCAACCCTCTTCCATCACAGGCGTCATGGGGCAAGTATGGCACTAATACTGGGAATAATTTGAGATAATTCGATTTTAAAAAAATATCGAAAAAAAGTATTAGGAACACACGTCCGGCAAGGTTGCGGCAGTGCCTTGTTTCATGCTTCACGCGGGGATGTTTCAGGAACAAGGAGAGTAGGCAGACCAAGAAAACAAAAAATAGCAGGCAGGTAGGGGACATTTTCCTTGTCCCCACATATCCCGAGGTGAGGATGGTCGGGGTTTACATTGACTGGTGCATAACTAACCTCCCTGATGGCAGCAATGGTGTTCTCAGGGGCGTCGTGACCACCCCCTCTATGTGCGATCACCAACACTCTGTTCGGCTCCAGTACGGGATCTGTGGCAGACCGCGGCAACTGTGGTATCCGAAGACTGACAACTACGACTACAACTAATACAACTGCTGCGACAGCTGTGAAGAAGTACCTGAGAGAGTGTGACCATGGCATAAATAACTGTGATGTGATATAACTAACAAGAAATAATGTGAACAAGTCGAATAACATCCATGAGTGAGTGCTGCACACCGAACTCTGAACAACATCGTGCGCCATGTTAGTTGTTACGAGATTAAAGTTCACAGCAGATTCAGATCAACGGATTCAGATTCTAACAACAGATTGTGGAATGTGATGAATGAATGATTCACTAAATAAATGAATGTTTTATTTCACTAAATACATAAATGACGGAATCATTGTAAGTGAAAACAAATATAAAGGGAGAGAAGTGTCGTATATTGTAATTTTGCTAGGGTCACGGAAATGATCCAGTTTGACGAATCGTGTGTGTGACGAGGTTAAGAAAACATTCCAATGTCACGTACAAAATAACCAGCGTATGGACAAGCAAATGCAGTTTGTTGCTGTTAGTTATTGATTGAACTATGTAGTCTCTCGCACTATCGTCAATATAGAAAAACGTAATTGATTATAATATGCCAATTAAACAAGGTCGGGTTCACATGTACCTTGAAAAATCTACGAACTTTTGAGAAGGTATTCATCTCGAAACTTATCAGCGTTATGGTCAAAGTGACGAAGACTGTTGCAAGTGTATGAACAGCTTCGGTCTTTATATAGAACTTGATTGGACGATTATCAAAACACCGGACGCGGTATGCCTTTGATGTGTGGTCGTC